CCATCAGTAGATGAATGGATAAAGAAGATGTGGTACATATACACAATGGAATATTATTCAGCCATTAGAAGAAAACAAATCCAACCATTTGCAACAATGTGGATGGAGCTAGAGGGTATTATGCTCAGTGAAATAAGCCAGGTGGAGAAAGACAAGTACCAAATGATTTCACTCATATGTGGAGTATAAGAACAAAAGAAAACTGAAGGAACAAAACAGCAGGAGAAGCACCCAACCAAAGAATGGACTAACAGTTACTAAAGGGAAAGGGACTGGGGAGGATGGGTGGGAAGGGAGGGATAAGGGTGGGGAAAAAAAGAGGGCATTACGATTAACATGTATAGTGTGTGGGGGGCCCGGGTTGGGCTGTGCAACACAGAGAAGACAAGTAGTGATTTTACAGCATTTTACTATGTTGATGGACAGTGACTGTGAACGGATATGTGGCAGGTACTTGGTGAGGGCGGGGAGCCTAGTGAACATAATGTCCTTCATGTAAATGTAGATTAATGATACCAAAATAAAAAAAATATTAAACATACAATCTCAGGATGCTTTTAATATTAAAAGGAGATTATCTCTAGGAAACTGAGATGTATGATCACACTACATACCAACTGTTAATTTGGTTGTTGGTCTAGTCTCCCCTGCTGTGTTCATCAAGAGTCTCTCATTTAGTTTGCAGTGAGTCTTGATTTTTTTTGAAGAAATGGTTGTATTTTAATAGTTATTTTTGTGCGGAAGTAATAGGTGGCTGCATGACATTTTCAACTGCAAGTCATCCCTCTTCTGACATAGAGGGCAATGTAGTAAGCTGCATTATGGTTCAGTATACATACTCGTGGCCCCTTCTTGAACATCCTCTTTTAGTGGCCCTCTTTGCAATATAACCCCAGATCTTTTGGTCCCAAACATGAACACATAATTGACTATGGCCAGTCATTTGCTAGGGAAATTCAAGAGAAAATGCCCATACTCATTTCCCACAAATTCTGTATTGCCTCTGACTTACATTTTCTACATGAGACTGATAATGTTCTAGATACAGATCCTCAGTAAGCCTGGATAGTGACGTAAAACAACATGAAACGGAGTCAGAGCCAAAGGATGATAAACATACAATTTCAGATAGAAACACAATTTTGTTGTGAGTCACTGAGATCTTGGTGTTGTTTGTAAAAGTGTCATAACTTAGTCAAAACTGACAGCAGGGAATAGTTTGCCCCCTGCTGGAAGAATAAAAATAGGTTTGAGTATTACCCCTTATTTGACAGTGTCTTCATTTATTTGGTATTGTCTCTATATTCTTGACCAGTTCTATTTCAATTATGTATCCCATATCCATTCTTCATATATGCACAGCTAAAGATAAAAGGCCCTACCTAGTAATGATCTATACCTCTAAATTGGGTACAATTTTTAAAGACTAGCTCCTGTAGACCTAATAATGATCTATACATGGAAAAACTTGGACAGGGATATCTTGACTATCGCGGGAAGCCATAATGATTATCTCCAGTGTGTCCATTCATTTTAGAAATTTTTGTTTAGTTCCTTGCCCAGGACAGGAGTTTGGAAGGAAAATTTCATTTTAGATTTTCTAAATTTGAGGAAATTTAGAGAAACTGGAAAGAAATTTGACTGATAAAATTGTTGAAGTGAACATATTGTAGAATAAAATCATGTAGAGTATATATCTTAACTAGGTTCTTAAATTTTGGAGGCAAAAGGACAGGAAAATCTATTTCCAAACATAATCCTTAGCTGCTTACCTTTACTTAAAGTATTATCTAGAGGTAAAATTTATCCAGACTTTATCTTAAGAGGCATGTACTATACTTGCACTCTGTGGGATTGGACATCTCTCTATCCTCTCTCATCTAAGAATCCCTATTTGAAGTGAAATAAACCAGCCATCCAAAAGCCCATTGGGAGTTTAAGACCTAAATACAGCATGAGTTGCACAAAGAGAAAGTCAATAAAGCTGATTTCAGTGACTTCTGAAAAAGGTCTTTTCTTTTTTTTTTTAATCTTATATTATACCTTCCACAAGCTATTGGATAATGCCTGGAAATATCCCATTGGAAATTTTGATGAGGTTTTATGGAAAGAACACTAGGTTGGAAATTAGATAATGTGAATTCCAATTCTGAGTCTATCCTTCTTAACCTTTTTGGATTTTAGTTTTACTCTTTGTAAAATGAAGTTATTTGATGAAATTTTTCATATGCTGGCCTAGCCACTAAATTCCAAGTAGGACTCTGGACATATCAAACTACTTTTCTCACTGAAAACGCCAATGTTTAATTTCTAAATTAGTGTTATTTTTGAATGGGAAAAGACTTAAGAAGTCACCTAATTTAATATCCTAACTTAATAGATGAGGTCTTGCCTTAGCCCAAAGGACTGTAAATTTAATAGCAGAGGAAGTTGAGCAGCTCCCTCCTAGGCCAGAGAATGCTTCTACCACCACTGCTGCACCTCTGTTCTCATTAGTTTATTTCTAATAAGCTAGAACACTGTTATTTTCTCCTTCCACTTTCCTGTCCCTGGCTGCCAGACCAGGCTCCTTTCGTGAAATATAAAGCTTTTCTGGAACAAGATGGATCTTAAGGAAGACTTGTGAAACAGCAACAGACACTGGCGGTGGCTCTGCTGGCAACAGAGGGGCAGGAGGGGGCGGAGGCGACCGTCAGTGTTTGCAGCCCTGCTGAACGGTACGGAGCATATGCAAGCCTTGTGCTGTCCCTTATCACTTATAGGAGGGCTGGCAGATTTAAGTAAACTCAAGCTGTCTCTTCCAGGTAGAGGGGGAGGATATTTATATAACAAAGAGAAGTGCTGGGTGCCTTTCTCAAGGTTTGGAGTATGAGGTAGAGACCACTCCAAATGTGTCCCTTTTTGCCTGAACTTCTGGAAAATTGGAGTGGATATTATGACATCAAGTTTGCTTAGACTCTTAGTTCTTAGAGATTTCATCTGTGTCCTTCTAGTATAGTAATATAGGAGAATGCAATTTGTGAGAGAATGGAAAAAGAGAGAAAATATAATTAAAGACAAGGTTTTCTTGAGCTTGATGGGGTGCTTTAAAATCTACAAGACCTACTTTGAATGACAATCCTAATACTGACAACAAATCGTGTCCTCACCAGGCACCTCTGTTAGTAATAATTTGTCCAGAAAGTAGCTCAGAATTCTTTTAGAGGGAAGCAGTCCAGATTGAAATCTTTCCTTACCAGAGCTCTTTTACTGGCCATCTAAAGATCCATATATCTTGGTGACCATCAGATATGCTATTTTTCTGAAAACATGTAACAGTCAGTTTAAGCTTTGAGTTTAACAAAGAAAACATTTCTAGCAGTTCCCAATAAGGATAGGATTATATGCAAATTCTTTTTAACAACACAAATTTCCTATGGCAGAGAGAATGTAATATTTTTATGAAACAGTTAAGTAATTTCACAGGGGAAAGTTCAACTATATAGTTTAATTTAATGATATTTACTGAGCATCATCTGTGTGCCAAGTATTGTACCAGGTTCATCTTTCTAGAACAGACAAAAATAGGTAATAAAAAGAGTAGAGAGAAATTACTGAGTACTCACTATGGACCAAGCATCTTTTGGTTCATTTATGCATTTTTCAGGTATTAACTCAATTGCTCTTCTCAATAACCTAACGACGTAGGCATTATTATAAGCCCCTATTTCATTCATGAGGACACTTAGGTATAAACACTTTAAATAGATTTTTTAAGAAAATTCAATATTTAAATGACAGAACCAGGACTCAGGTCAACAGTCCAATTGTAGAAAGAACATTTAGAATATATTTAGAATATATTGGTTTGTTTGAAGGATTGCATCATTTCTTTCACAGCACACTGGATTGTATTGGTTCATCCCACTAAAAGGCTGTGAGGAAGTGGCCCAGACCCTGCAGGCTGGGCATGCACTCCCAGTGCTAGGAGGCCAGGACTACCTCTAGCCTACTAACACCAGAGTTTATATGTTGTGACAAGCAGGACTCACCCAGTTGCTTCCTTGTTTTTCGCTGCCTGTCCCTTTTCTCATCTTGGATCACTCATTTCTCTTGACTTTCAGAGAAACAGATTTCTCACCACATTTTCTCTCCTGTATACTATTTTGGGGGACAAGTATAAGGCTCAGAGGGAAGGGTAGCCTCTGGAGTCTTTGGCCCTGGAAGTAGATGCAGACATTAAAATTTCTTAAATGTTAAAAAGTCACTATTATTAAATGCAAAATACATCATCCATTTATACTACCCTAAGGGCAGAATGAATTATTTCTGAGAAATAATTCTAGAGCTAAGAACCCAATATATAAGGAATATGATTTAAATTGTTGAAAATATTTCAATATAAAAAATTTTAAAGTACTTGACATTTGTGAAAATATAAACAAAGAGCATAATAACATGTCTTTTAATATGTCATTCAAAATAATTAAAAACCCTAGGAGGAATTATTATGAGGTACTTTGCAGTATGAGTTCTAGAGTAAAGATGGTCTTATTTGAAATGTAAGTTTCATCTTTTCCTTTCTGTGAAACCATCGACAAGCAACTCCTTGTTACTGGAGTTCACTTTCCACATTAATGAAAATGGGGCCAGTTTAGTGTTTCTCAGATTGGTGCTGTGAAGATTAAATAAATGACTGCCAGTAAATCACTCAGGGTGGTAACTGGCAGTGAATTATACATAAATGTAGAGAAACCAAGAGAATGCCCCAAGAATGATGGATGAAATCACTGTAATGAATGGTCACAGACATACTGCAGTCAAAGGTATGAAACTCCACAAGAAATTCCTAGCATCACACTCGCCTGTTGTTTGCTGGGTGTTTTCTGCCCTAACTGGATCTCATCCCTATGCTTCTCATCAGAAAATTCCTACATGTTGAGCCAAAAGTCCCACCAATTTCTGACTTCCCATGGTTTGCACAGGGAATGTTATCAAAACCCCAGGGCAAGTGACAAGCTTTAATATTTAAGTCTTGTCATGGGTTTACCTGAAATGAATAGTCGATTCTTTGAAATAATATTTGTACAGCTTTTACAGCATCAAAATGCTTTCACCATTTGGTCCTGATAATAACATATTAGCTTCTCATTGTCCCAGCAGTCCTGTAAGGAACCCAGAATTGTCCACATTTTAAAGATGACTGATTAGAACCACTCAGTCAAACTTGAACCCAGATCATTGGATTGCAAATGCTTTGCTTTTTAAACTTCAACTGGCCCATGGAGTAATTTTTAAAAAAACAAATATAGTTTCAAGTAGATGTTTTCTGTCAATGTGACAAAAGTACTCATAGAATGCTCTCAAAGCCCAGGCTCTCAGTGTTCATCACAGAACTCATTTGAAGCCTCAGCTGTATTCAAAGTGGGCCTATTGGATTTGCCTAATAACTAAACCTGACTCATTCATTTAGTTTGGGCATTTTCTTTCTTTCATAAGTAGCCTGTTGAGGACAATTTGGGTGTAGCGATGGTCACGTCCTGCCAAAGGGTGGCAAAATACTGAGATATCTATGCACAATTAATCATGCAAATACAACATATGCCCATATGTCCAGGGACCAGAAGAAACCATACCACACCTTGAGCATGCTGCACACTCTCACTAAATATTTATTCTTGATTGATGAATTGCTTAAAATATGACCAGGTCATGGGAAATTGGGCAGAGAGCTAGGAGAATTTTTATGAGCTTGGCTTTTTGCCCATTCCAATTGTAATGCCTGCACTTCTTTCCACACTAACATTTAAGGTTGTGAAATGCAACCTGTCATCTCATTTACCATTTGGCACATTTGTTTTTGTTTTTTTGTTTTGTGGCTTATACTGAATTTGTAAATAAATTCTGTATATTGACTCTCAGCAAATGACTTTTGAACTATAATGTACAAAGCAGTAGCCTTGGGGAGCCTATTAAACATACATATTTCCTATTAGATCTCACCTCAGAGATCTGGATGAGACAAAGAAATGTACACTTGTAAAACAGGTACATGGTTGGGGCCACATGGTAAAAGAGATGTTGTACAGAAATCTGTATATCCACTTTTGGAAGGGGACTGGAGGTATTAATGACACATTGTCCTAATAAAGTGCACTCTCATTTTTTATAGCAACTTTAACACAAATCTTATCATTAACCAACTAGATCTCTGATGATTACCAACACCATCAGGTGATTTTATTCATTAATTATGGTACATAATTCTCCAAACCACTGAGGGTTTGATCCACAAAATAGTTGTTGGGTTAACATCAAGAATAAGCCTTGGTCATCATTAACATGGAATAAATATTCAGCCCTTTAACAGAAGGAAATAAGGAATTTTAATAATTAATTCTCTACATATAATGATTTATCATTTTATTTTTTATAAATATTAGATGCATCTTTTCCGTGAATCATGAGTAAAATCAAGAAAAGGGGGTGTAGGGCATAGACAAAATAAGAAAGAAATTTTAAAATTTATTTTAATAAGTATACTGGAAGTTAATTTTAAGTAAAATTTAGTGAGAATTTAATGATCTGGTGACAATATTGAGACTCATTATTTAGCTATCAAATCAGAACATAGCAAACATTAATGTGTCTCAATATTATCACCAGATCAAATTTTAATATTAATTTGGTTATCAAATTTGAATGTAACAAAGTATCTCCTGTTAGGATACTATTTTGCCTGTGCCAATATTAGTGATGGTTGATTGGATTATTTTCTCTACAATTTTTTTTCCTTACATTTCTTGACAATGTAATTCAAGGATTAACATACAAGTCTGTACTTTGTTATAGTCCTTTAACAGATATTTCCTTCCATCCATCAAAGTTGATTGCATTTAGGTTTTTTATAACTCAGAAATATATTAAGCTTTCTGGCCTGAAAAGTTCTGAGTTGTGTGTTGTGGTCACCTGCAGGGTGGTCTTGTACAGGAAACACCCACCACTCCTGCAGGGCTAGACCATGTGTCGGCCTCACAGTATCACTCCCTGCCTGTAGCTAGTAGGCCAGGGTATAGACCCTGAAGAACACTGGGCTAATCAGGTTTTCTCTTCAGTAAATTTGGATTGGGACCAAATGATTGTACTCTCTGTCTGTGCTGCCTTGTAAGTGGAAGAGGTACATAGTCCCTCTGTGAACTGAGGAGCAGAGAAAGTTCTGCAGAGAAAAGAGCAAAGCAAATATGACTCTTAAATGTGTATTTCCACGTGGACCTCTCCTCTGAACTCTAGGTTGTACATAGACAGCTGTCTACTTAACATGCTGACTGAGAGACCCAAAAATGTTTCTAACACATGTCTAAGCCTGAAATTCCAATCTGCCTTTCCAAAGGTTTTCCACCTGCATTATCCCCCATTTCACTTACTGTAACTATATACTTTGTGCATCTCACACATGAAATGCTGTCATGTTTTACTCTTCTTTTATCTCATGACCCATGATTATCAGTGAATCCTTATTTCTTTAAAATATATTCAGTCAGATCACTTCTCACCATCATTACTGCTTAGTTCCCTTGTCCAAGCTCTCTTCATCACTCAGCTAGGTTATTGCAATGGTCAGCTAACAGGTCCCCATTTTTCACCCTCTGCATTCTATTCTCACCAAAGCAGCCAGAATGATCCTTTCAAAATGTAAAATTGTGTAATTTCACTCATCAGAGTCCTGTGGCACTTCTCCAGTTCATTCATATTAAATGTCAAATTCATGTCTCCTGCCTAAAAAGCCCTCCTTAGAACTTGTAAACAGAAAGCCCTACTAATACACAGGGGTACTTTGATGGCCTAACCGTGGTCTTGTAAGGCTGGTTTTTCACTACTTAGTGACTTCAGGCAAATCCTTCAAGCTCATCTAAGTCTTGGTTTGCTTGTCTGGAAAATAGGACTGACATCTGCTCTGCTACTTTCATAACATCCATTTGAGGATCAAATTGGGAAATCTGCACATATATAAACAATCATCATTGCAAAGTAACACAGATGTTGTACTTTGGTATTCAAATAATAGGAAGGCTACAACAGCCAAATAATGCAGTTCTTAAGAGGCAAGAAAGCATGTCAGTTTAGTTTTCACCTTCATTAAACTACTAAATTCTCTTAAAACTATTAAAAATATAAGTGAATTTGAGAGGAAATCTGAAAGATGGTTGCAGTAGAGGTTGGGGTATGATCAGATTAACACATATAGAAAATAATGTATACAACCAGATTGCCATTTGTTAATGCAATATGAAAAAAATTAGTGAATCAAAATACATACTAGGGTCTCCTAGATAGCTTATTCTTTCCACAGTAGGGTGAAAGGAAGGATGACCTAATCAGAAGGGAATTTTGTTTTCCTATTTGAAACAAAATATGCAATCAGCCAGTGTACAAATTTTGGTATGCTTTGTAAGTTTTCCTCAGGTGTCTGAATTTGAGAGATGAATAAAGTATAATTTGGTCTCTACTTCTGAGTTTTGATTCAGCAAGAGCTATTCAATGGTGTCAGATGATAATACAAACATTTAGAGCAATGTGATGGGGGAGAAAAGATGATCAATATAGTAGTCAATTTCAGTTTGCTTAATAAGACTACTAGGAAAATAGACTAGCACACATGAAATATAAAGTAGACAGAGAAGGTATTAACATAAAATTTTTTCATTGACTTATTTCTTTATACCTTTCCATGAACAACTCCATGCCCCTGCATCTGAGGATCATCACTGTGTACTGAGGCAGCATGGCTGACACCCAATGTCTCCACCTGCATGGATCAGAATTCTTTTGGGTTGTCTTTTTGAGTCAGTATCAATAGAGATTTATCTCTTCTTGAGTAACTCAAAGAATCCTGCATTTCCTATTGACTCAATGTAAGTAATTAACCTTTCATGAAGTGCTGGTTTGATGAAAGTGTTTTATCTATAAGTTGGGGATCAGTCCCAAAAGGCATCTAGGCTCATCACCCCTAGACTTGGTGAATTTAACAATATCCCTTCTTCTTCACCTTCTTAGAGAAAATGGGCTGAGTTAGAGGTGCTGCAACTAGTCATTAAAAATGACCCAAATGGGCTTGAAGGGCAGGAGCCTCCCTGGCCATGAGGGGTTCATGGGTGACTTGGGAAGGCCTACTGCTGTGACACAAGGAAGGGGCTGACCCATCTATAGCTGGCAGCACTAGACTTAATCCCCAGAGGCCTTGGTTTCACCATTCCAATTTGGGATATTACCTTTTACAGCCTTCACTTGCCATGTCAAAATGGATTAGTAAAAGGAAATAATCAAGTGGATGTTCCTGATTGGCAATGGGCACTTTAAACAGGGTACAGGCAAGAGAATTCTAAAAAGCAGCCAGATGGGATGGCAGTGTGAGAGATGAGACAGAAACCCCCTCCCAAAACCACATATAATATGAAAATATAGCAAATACATCTAATCCTGAAAGAGCAACAGGAAAGAAGGCTGCAGCAGACTGCCTACACCTGGGAAAAAGAGTAGACCTCAAGGAAAAGGGTAAAGTACCAAAGTCCTTCCCCCACCTAAGCTCACTAGGAGGAGGAAGAGAAATAGAATGGGGAAGGGGTGCTGGCCTAGAACTCCTGAACACACAGCCCTGGAGATCTTCTCTGGGAGCACGAACCTATATTACATCATGCTCTGGAGATTAGTGGGGTTGGAAAGCTAAGACAGGTTGAGTACTTGGAGAGATTGAGATTCCAGCCACTTGTGGAAATGCGTATCCACAACTGGCAGCTCTGGGACAAAAGAAAGGTAGGCAGTCTGAGAGACTTCCTAACAGCTAGTGGGCTCTAGGCCCTCCACTGTGATATGCAGCCTGCTGTACCTTCTTCCCACTGGCACCAGCTCACAAAACAGCTGCCCCACCATTATGCCAGGCCAGCTAGAGGGAGGTCCCACCTACAGCAGCTACAAGTGCAAAGCACAGAGATTTCTCCCAGCATGCTCGGCACATTGACCCTGGCACTGGAGGCAGGCACTGAAGCTAGGAAGCAGGAAAAAGCTCTTTCCTGCTGACAGGCACCAGTGTCACTCACCTGTGATCCCCACCATCGCTCCAGGGGACGAAAAGCAATAGAGGGTATAACTTTTGGCTACTAGAGAGTGT